GCTAAACAGGTTTCAGCTCCATTCAGGCCCTTTACTCCAGCAACCTTCTGGATTTTGTTTGTAGCCATTTGCTTCGTGATCTCTGAGACGGAGCCCTCTCTGCTGGCTTCTTCATGCCTCCCCCCTCACATTTCCTGCCATTGTACTCGATGCTACAGTGATCATTGTGTCCCTCATGCACATGCAGCTGAGGCAGCCGCTCAGCTACGCTCCGGTGAACATGGCAGAGGCCGCTCTGGGCACGGCCATGACCGCAGGAGTGCCGCCTGTGGTCACCTTCTCCCTGTCTTCCTGTGTGATGGAGGGCTCAGCAGTGTCCTTGTGTGCAGAGTGACTAAAGTTTAGTAACAGCTCGTTTTGTTAGCGAGTGTTTGATCAGTAAGTTATTGTTTAGTAAATTAGCTGTACTGATTCTATGAGAATATTTTCTAGCATGTGCGCAGTGACAAATCACTCACAGCTGAAATACACTCACAAAGGAAGTTTGTGATAAAAAAAAAAAAAAAAAGTTTTGAACAGGTTTCATAAAGTCTTCAGTTTTGCTTCAGGACTTTGAATTGAAGTGTTTTATCGATAATCTCGTATGACTTTTTGTAATCCCTGGTCATTCTGATGGTCCTGTCGTTCCTGGTCAGTTGCTTCCTTGGTCTTGTTTTATATGCAGCCATGAGCCGAGGATCATCACGCTCTTTAACTCCATTATCAACAAACAGGTGCGCTGACGCCGCATTCACATTATTACATTATGGTGTATAATTCGGCTATTAACAGGAACTTGTAGTTTTGAGCACATTTCACTGGTTCTGGTGTGTGTCGGAATTGATTTAAAAAAACGTCCTGCTGACCTTTAAGTGCATTAACGACCTTGCACCCTCATACCTCTCTGACCTTCTTCAACCATAAGTTCCTTCTTGGGTGCTAAGATAATCTGACCAGCTGCTTTTGGTTGTAGCAAAAACCAGTTTGAAGCTCAGAGAAGTGGCTTTTTCAGTCATGGGCCCTAAACTCTGGAACAATCTGCCCCTCAGGCCACTTCACTCCCTGCTTTGAAATCTCTCCTTAAAACACACCTGCTGTCACTGACGTTAACACAGTGTGATTTGATTTAGAGTTTCATTATTTTTTATTGTTTTTATGTTTTTATTTTTGTAGCTTTCAGTTACATCTTGTTAGTTTTTTTTTACTGCCTTTATCTTATTGTTAAGCACTTTAGTAACAGCTGCTGTTTTAAATGTGCTTTATAAATAAACTTGACTTGACTGGACATTAGAGTTAGATTTATCTGAAGGATTGAAATCAGTTTCAAGCTGTTATTTTGGGCAGTACATTACCACCACCTAGTGGCAATAATATGCATTACATTTACAACAATTTTGGGAGAAAAAACGAACAAACAAACAAACAATCAACAACAAAACAATCCAGACCAGTACAAAGTAAATACAGAGTCAATACTAAAAATACTAAAACATTTTATGACCTGTGGATGACGCGTCATCAAAGTGCTAACCCTGAATAAACTTTCATGACCTTTAGGTGTTTTTGTACCCCCCCCCCCCCCATTTTGGAATATTAATTAGTTATAACTCAGGACAGAAATTTATTATTATTATTTGAAAACAAATATTTTTTCAGGGCGAGTGTTCAGAAGCTGGAATAAAAAAATTAATTAAACTCTTCATTCTTATAGGAGAGAAACAGACGCTAAAATATTCACCTTATTTGACTAATATCAGTCAGTAACATTCATCTTATTATCAGTATTATTGATAATTATATTGATTCGCCCACCTCCAGTGCCAATACAGAAATGAGCTCATATTCAACTTCTTCATTCAGTTTGTTGCACTTTTGTGTGAACATAAGATATAATGATTATCTGCTCCCATCTGTCCTGTCACATCTATTTATTTATTTACATTTGAATAAATAAAGATTTTGTACAAATAAATAATCTATTTTGTCAGTTTCTGATAGCATATGGAGAGATTAAATTATTGGAAAGAATGATTTGCACAGAATGTTCAATTATGAGTGACAGTTCAAATTCTATAAGTCACAATTTATTCTAAGAATATTGTTAAGGGTGTGTTTTATTTTAGTTTTGTAAATGTGCTAAAGATTCCTGCTGCGTGTGAAGAAATACGTCCATAAATCCATTGTTTTCCTTAGAAATCTGTTTCGTCACCAGTAAACACCAAGATTTCTAAATATCAAAGACAAGAATAAATAAAATAAAAAAATACAAATGAACCAAACTAGGAATTCAGCATAAGTCAATTTAATGATGATTGTAAAAAAAAAAAAGGTCAAAATATCAAATGAAGTAAACATAAAAAGAAAAATACAAAAAATGTATTGATACAAAATCTCGAGGGTTTACGTGTGTATTAAAGCGTTTGCTACTAAGAGAAATGATGTTTACTGAATTAAAAACACGGAGGAGCAAATATCAAGTCTTTTCAAGTAGAGGACGTCAGTCTTCCCTTATGTTTGTACATACGTTACATTTTCTATTCAAACACAGCTTTCTGAACATTTATCGTTAGTAATAATCTGAACAAGATGAAGAAAATAGACACGTGTCAATGAATGTGTGTTTCCCTGTAAACTGGTACTTGATCACTTTTTTTTTCAACCTGCAAAACAGAAAAAAAACTAAACAGAACAGTGCACCTTGAAAGTTTTTTTTTATCCTCATTTGATCCCAGCATTGAAAGGTGAGGTGTAAAAGACAGATATAGATTCCACTAAACTATACGCACAGTCACGTAAAAGTACAAAATTATCTCACCTTAATACACAAATTAGTTTAGAAAAAAAAAGAAGAAAAAAAAGAGAAGCACTAAACATTTACTTGTGCAAAGACAAACAGCTATGTGCTAATATTTAAATACCGTTGGTTTAGACTTAACCAAATCATTTCTCTCTCTTTTTTTTTTTTTTTTTTCAGGAATCCCTGACATGAGGTAAAAGTAAGTACTTTTCTTAAATCTTTAGTTTAAAACAATTCTTCAAAGTCTTTACAAAATAATGCATATCTTCAGTTCATCAGTACTGTAGTTGCTACAAATAGTACAGTGTGCCTTTTGATGTGCATTGGTCCTTTTAGGTGACGGTCATCAACAAAAAGGCCTACAACACATTGTTTTTAAAAACTCACTAATGATTCAAAGAGCCCTTTCAATATGCACACAAAGTGGAAAACCTACATTTTCATGACAGTATTCAGTGTTTAGAAGCGGAACACACTTCCTAACAAATCTAAAACCTTAATAATCCTTTGTGAGAAGTTAAACTCTCCGTGGTAACACCTGAAAAAGCAGTTTATTTAGTCCGGAGTTTTAATGTGATGGATCTGGGAAGGATAACAGATGAGGACAAGAACTGTGTTTTGTTTTATTGGTTTGAGTTGTTTCTGATGCGTCCAAGTTTTTATTTTCTTCCTCTTTTTGAGCTTTTGGAGAGGAACTAGTCCAGGATTTGCCCTCACTGTGCGGACAGATATGTTGAGACAATGATGTCGTCACAGTTGCCTAAAGGAGTTTAACTGTAACAGGCAGGCTGAGAGGAAGGGAGTAAAGTGGGGGGGATTTCAGTATTGCTTTGCCTCAGTCGTGCCACGAACAACAAATGTTTCTGACCTTTGGATGTGTGCATGTGTCCCCTGTTGCCAAACGCCCTGAGCCTTCACACACGCATGCACGCGCACACACACACACGACATAAAGGCTAAGACGTGACAGTAAACTACAGCGGCTTAACTGGCGCCCAAATCAACAAGGAGTACATCATGAAAATTCCTGGCACAAGTCTGGAGCAATATCAGTTTGTCCCACTTTTAGTCTAGCAGCAAAAAGGCATTTCAGTAGGGCTTTAAAACAAACTCAAGATTCGACTCCAACAAAGAAAGCAGCAACGTTGATGCGTTTGAAGTTCTTCTGCACGCCCCTGCACAAAATATGCACAGAGGGGTGTCATCAGCTCTAAACGGGTGTTGTGGATCCCTAAAGAGCTGCGTATCTTGTGCAGGTGTGTCACTGAAGAACCTCGAAAAAGGTTTTTACAGGCAAAATAAAGAGTGCACACAAGCAAAAAGTAAAAGGCAAGTAAATATGCGAGCAAAGAACCTCAAAAAATAACAAGTCTGCTTTTCGAGTTTAGCACGAGGAACAAGGATTCATATTGCTGATCTTTTAAATCATACATAATTACAAAATATAGAATTTCTCTTTACAAAGTTTCTCATCTTATGATACAATTTACAGCATTTCAACGAGGAAATATTAATCAGGCTATTCTAAAAAGTTTAAAATAACCCGCCTGCTAGTGCATTTACCCCAAAATGCTTTTGTTGCTTCAAAAGAACACATCTCAAAGTGATGCTGTTATAGGACAAATAATTCCTGCATAATCTGGTACAACACTACTGGAGCTCTTCATGTTTTTGATTAGCTTTAGCAATTCTACAACATCCTGCTGCTCTAACAAGAAAGGGATCTTTTTTTTTTTTACTTTCTAAACACTACACAAGATATTACTCTCTATGCTTGCATTGGAAACTTGCATGATATGCCAAACGTTAATAAAGTGACTGAGGTAATGACATCAAACATCTGATTGTCATCACCTTTAGAGACCCCGCCCTCGTAGATGATCTCACACCTTTGCCAGCTGGTCTGTCTCTTTCACTGGCATCAGTTTTCCGGCCTCTGATAGACTGTGTTACCTCCAGGTCAAGACCTTTAAAGGAGGGGGTCACGTCAGAAAAGATGGCAGCTGGCTCTGTAGCGTGACCTCCTTCGCTGGCAGGTGGAGAGCATTTCAAGGAGCAGAACTACTGTGGCGTGTCTTTCCTCTACATATGCCTTTTCCTTTCAGTGTAAAAGGCACTTCTTTTGGTCAGAGCCAACAGATGCATTGCTCCCCCCCCCCCACACACACAATTCTCACAGTTGTTTTCAACCAAAGTTCTGATCTGCAGAGTTCCCCAGCCACTGCTATAAAGTCGTAATGCAGATCATCTCGTCCGCCAGGTCTTCCTCGTAAGGAGCTCTGGCTTCTGTCTCTGGCTCCTCATCACTGTAGCTTGCTCCAGCGTCCTGCAGTTCATAGTCCCTTGGAGATAAAAAGGGAAACACGTTGACCCCATTGATACTGGGGGCCATCCCTTCACTCAGCAGGTGGCTGGCTGCGCTCTCCATCTCGTCTATTGTCATCTCACAAGCATCTGCGATCTCGTGCTTCGTGGCAGCAACAAACTTGGGATCCTTGGCGAACCTCCCAAGACCCTCTGATATCAAAACCTGCAGGGCAGAAAGTAATCCTTTAAGTGTGATCTTGTTTAATCATCCACACCTCTCCAAAAAGCTCCAGAGAGCCTGAAACTCACCGCTTCTACAAGGCTGGTTGCGCTGCCTCTCTTCTGGTGGTACTGATTGTGGTACTCAGGTGGTACCTGAAGGTGGACAGGTGAGTACGTCCTCTGGGAGAACTCAGGGTCGTCTGTGTACCAGGAGCTCTTGCGCACCGAAACTTGGCTCCCAGCAGCACTGTCCCTCTGAGGGCGGTCCACACGGATGAGAGGCGTGTAATACGGCGACTGGTCTTTACTGGACGGGGTGGCGGGAGGCGTGGCCCAGGAGCGGGTGGAGCGGGTCGGGGAGAGGCAGTGGGCTCTGCTGGAGTCCAGGCCTGCTACAGCCATAACCTGAGGGGTCACAACGTTCACACATTTTAGAGTAACAGCCATTAGCTCAGCTTATTTCTCCAATATTCTATGAGACAAAATCATGCAAACACTTATGTACAGGGATTAAAACATAATGGGGTTAGAGCTGAAGTACCTGATGCTGCATAAGGTGCAGTGGTAAAGCAGTACGCTGATGTGGAAGCTCATCCTGGCTACTTTGTCTGCGCAAACACTCAAAGTTAAAAGACGGCCTTCTGTGACCTGAACGGGACCAAAGTGGAACAAGGAGACGTCATAAAAGTGAGACGAACTCAAAACCTCTGGCAAACTGTTTTAGAGTGCAAAGAAAAGAATAGGCATCAAAATAAAAGACAGATGCAAAACACGTTTTCTTCTGAAGGGGTTTGTGTGTAAATTAAAAACAAGATATTGACAAAGAGGTACAATAAATTCCTATAGAGAAAAAAATTAATGTATGTGTGGTTATATAAAGTTGGTAATAAATATATAATGAGTAAACTTTTAAAGAGTACAGTAGTCACCCAATACTTCAAGGTTCGACTTTCGTGGACTCACTCTTTCGCAAGTTTTCAATGTAAGATTGTACACATTGTTTCCCAGTGGCCTGGCTGCTCAGTGATTGCCGAGGGCCCTCTTCTTTCTTTTTCTGAGGCTGACAGCCTCAGAAAAAGAAAGGAGGGGGCGGGGTCTGTCTTTCCCCATCGCTGCTGTGGGAGCTGCAGTGAAGCAGATACCAGAGTGAGCGGCATGGATTGTTTATTTAAAATAATCAAGCGTAACCCGAACCGAGCCTTAACTCGAACTGATCCAGGGGGAAAAGGCCCCGTGCTCCCGATGATCCAGTCTGCCTGGGGTGTTGATTGTCTCAGTAACCGTAGCATCAGTCATCTGCTCTCTTTTGCTGTGCTCTTTTAGAGCCTTTAGATAGTTTAGAACATTGCAAGAGTGTGGAGTGTGTCTGGGGAGTGGTGGAGCAGATGATCGGAAAGTCGCAAGTTCAACTCCCGGTACCGTCAACATCAAAATGTGGGTGGAAAAGGTGAAACACCCACACCTGCCTCCACCCTCATTTGCCCCACTCTGGGCCCCTGAGCAAGGCCCTTAACCCCCACCATCTGCCCCCAAAACCAGGTCTCTCTTGAAAATGTGTTTTCATGATTCAATGAGACTACTTGTATAAATAAAGGGTTAAAAAAAGAAAAAAAAAAGAAACGTGAGAAGGGTTTAAAAAGCCTTTATATATATATAATTACTGAAATAAATATAACGTCCATATGTCGCAGATTTTCACGTATCGCGGGGGTGTCTGGAACTTAACTCAACGATTAGGCCTGTTGCAGTAAACAATAAATCAATTAATCGCATGATAAATGAAAATGATCAACCTCATTTTTATTTATCGACTTTATCGTTTCTTCATGTCTCTCTCTTTCTACTGGACACTGGATGACAAAAAGCTCAACTCCAGTGCTCTTCACTGACGCCTCCCTTTCTCTTTAAAATCCATTTTAACTGTCCAAAATCACGTTTTTGGCTCATTAAAAGCGGCTAAGCTGAGAAGCTAAGCTAAGCTAACAGGCCGACCTTGGGAAAAAAAAACCTTTGTTTGACAATAATTACTAATTATTGTCAAATTTCAAACATTATTACCGTTTATCGCAATCATTTCTGAGTTAATCTCCCAGCAAAATCTGTTATCGTGACAGGCCTACCAGCGATAAGTGAAGGACTACTGTAAAGGGTTGTTATATTGTTTTTTGAAAAGTCTAAATTCACATCATCCAGTGAACTCTTAATATTTATTGTGTTTGTTTCTTGAAAAATTGGTTTGACTGGAAATATTTTTAAAATTTCATCCCATTGCTTATTTTGCTGCTGTATCTGAGGATTTGGCTCTACCTGCTGTACTTTATGTGAAAACACATTTTCTACTTTTTATTGCACAGATTTTCTGAGACTTTTGGTAACAATTCACCCTGTATTTGAATTGAAACTTTGGCTTGTCCTTCTGATCTTAATCCGTTTTAATCTAACACACTGATGTTGACTGAATATGGCTCCAAAGAAGAATACTCTGTGCTGTGGGTAAGGACAGAGGGTAAGGAAAAACCTTGAGGTGTGGCTGGAAGCAGCCTTCTCTTTGGTGACCTTCGTGAGTCTCCGTACAGAGGCTGCTCATCATCATCATAATAACTGTCAGGGTGATGGTAGCCTTTTGGAGTCTCGTACTCCGTGTCACTGTTCTGGTACCTGCCCAACAGATAAAATAAAGCGCCGGTTAGAAAACTGCCAACACACATTGTCCCCACGCATTTTCTTTTGTTACTACATCTCTCTTAGTTGTGCAAAAACTAAAAGAAATGGGAAACATCAGTAAACATTTTACAATTAGGATTCAATATCATAAAAATGAGATAATAAAAGAGAAATACCTGTCCCCTGACAGCATACTGTCGTCCTCATAAAACTCCTCCCCACTATAATATTCCCCAGATAAACGGTCCTCGTCAAAGTCCTCCTCTCTGCGGATGGTGGGGTGATGGTCGTCACCTCTGTGTGACCTGAGGGACAATCAGGGGTGTCAGAGATCACGCTGCGGCTGATCAGAGGGACTACAGGAGGAGCCATGCTTTGCCATGCAGACACAAACCTCAAGGGGGAAGCAACACTAGACCACCCTTATCAGACCAGGAGATGCTGCCTACATTTCATCAAACTTTGCATCCATTATTAATAAAAACACAAATTATTTTTCTACTGATGGACTATTAAATCTTAGGATAGCAGTGTTGGGGATTGTGAGTTAAAAACTTGTAATGAGTGAAATGGTTTTTAAAACATTCTTATAAAACTCCTTAAATTCAAGCATCGGTAACTTTCTTCAAAACCAGGGCGCCAGTTTGACACGTGCAGAAAACAGAGCTGCTCTCAGCATGACGGGTCATCCCACACCAACACACACACTCTCCCATTTCTTACCAAAAATGTTAACACAATATTAAACTGACAACTAACTAATCCAACACTGGGCCACTCTTTTTTTTATATATTTTACTTCTGAAGTTTCTTCTTGAAGCCAAAAGTGCTAGTTTGTTTTACATATATTGTATATTAAAACAAGCAAAATATATATATTTAAACATATACAAAATTAGCTATTTTTACAAAAAAGAAGTATTGAAGTATATATATATACAGTATATATATATATATATATATATACTGTATAT